TGCTGAAGAAAACACTGGGGCAGGGGAAGTCAGGGTGTCCCTGAGGCAGAGGGACACAGACCATGGTACAGGTCAGCTTTGGTGATCTCTGGGAACCTGTCAAACTTGCAAGCTGAAGGCATGGGGCTAGAAATGGAAGAGTTCTTCTGGTTTCTGCTTCCTCCCCATTTGTCACTGGTGCATGGCTCAGTCTCTTAACTTCACGGCAAGGGTGCAAGTGAGATAGTGATTTTGACTAAGAGCACTTAGAGCTATAAGGTTCAGACATGTTCTTGTTTGCCCGTGAGAGCTACCCAGCCACAGGCTTGAAGAATTAACAGGTAGCTTGGTGCTTCTTTCAGGAGAAAAAAAAGAAAAAAAAGTATGTTTTGGGGGAACCACTGTAACTGAGCAGTTGACACGGGAGGAAAAAAAATACTTCATTCTGAATGTTTCATTAAGACAGTCATGGGCAATTATGAGCTAAAAGCTGAGGTATGTTAGCTTTAATAAAGTATTTATAATCCAAGGATTGCTATGTTTACATAACCATTGTGCTGTCAGGCTTTGGAGTGGCACCCCCTCTCTTGTGTATGACTGTGGAGAAGTGTGGGGCCAGTGCCACTGTCTGGCACAAACAACATTCCTGGAGATAAGGGCATTTTCAGATGGATAATAAATAGACCCAGCCCTCTCCAGAAATCCTTGAATAGAATATGGGCCAAGTATTGTGAATACTAGGAGAAGCAAATGCATGAAAATATTTTCTTGCTTAGATCAAGAAAAGTAAAGTAATTTATGCCTACACACAGAGGATTATTTGTATATAAAATGTGCATGTAGAAGACCAGTAGTCAAAGCCTTAATAAGTGTAATGTGAACAATACTGTACCATTGACTATAGCTTTATTGCAGGCTGTATAAAATCATGTTATCTCTGTTTTGGTTTTGGGTTTTTCGTTTGCTTTATTTTAGCTCTGCTTTGTTTATTTTTTCAAATTTTGTGGCCTTTTTACAGGCAAGACCTCAAGCTGGTTGGCCATGCAGGTCTGGAGAAGTAAGCTCTGCTAGATGGGGTGTGCGTTTGTCCTTCTCTTCTTTGCTTCAGTTCAAACAAAATTACAGTAACTCAGGTCTGGAAATAAAAGTGTGACATCAATCCCTGTGAAACAGAAGCAAAGTTTCAGGTGACAAGCAGCAGTTCAAGTTTCCTGACCTTTTAGTGGCAGCAATGATTCTAGAGGAAAGTGACTGTAGCAGGTCCCCATGTACTTTAACATCTTTCTTTCCATGTTCTGGTAATTTCCCATACAACCCAGACTGGTTTGATGCAGATGCTTGCAATGTGGTTTGACAGATCTATGACACTTGTTAGTGTTCATCCAGGTGTCTTTTGTGACAGTGTGTTCACAAATATTGTACTGTGCATTCCAACCAACGATCTATGTAGAATATTTCTGCTGTACTGACTGGACTTTACAGTCAATAATTCTAAATGGGTGAAATTTTCTTAAGAAAAACAATGTGAAACCCTCTGATGTGTGAATATGTATTCTGGTCTTTGTGTGGTTTTACATTTCACTAACTAAAATAATTTTTAGAGGGGAGAAGAAGAGGGTGTGGGGACAATCACAAATGTACCTGTGTCCAGAACAAATCTCTGCATTCATTAAAGACTGTGGATTCAGTTGTACATTGTGCTGTATGCATGCATTTTCCACTTCCTCAAGGTGAGGAACTCTCTTACTGCATTCCTTGTCCTGCCAGCTGCTGTTTGGGTCTGCAGGTAATACCAGCAAGGAACTTTGCTGTGGTCCTTTAGGTTTGTATTGGCTATTGCAATCAAGGGAGAATTTAGAAAGTGGGGCAGAGAAACAAGTTGGCCAGCCAAAGGGCTACATTGTCCCATGTGTTGCTCACACTTTAGGGGGCCAAGATGCAGGTCTGCAGTGTTAAATATCAGGGATTGGGGAATTCATCTGAAAGCATTTTTTTAAAAGGATCAGCTCATTTGCTACACTACAACCCATGGCTTTCAGCAGCAGGTGCCAAAGACCCAGACACTTGAAATTCCTGTGTGAAGGACAAGAGGATGAGGCAGATGTTCCTTACTGCAAAGTTTTAGTCCACAATCCGTGGCAGCAAAATGCTGCTAAGGCAGCACCTAAAATTCTTTTCTTCCTCTTCCTGTATAGTGCTTGATGTCTACCCTGCTTGCTAAGGACCATGTCTGAGTTCTTTCCCCAACACACGCCTAATCGGTTAATGTTCCACTACCCAGAACAGTGCTGTGGTGTGTCACAGCTACCCAAACCTTCATGGTATCTGAATTTCCTCTCAGCTGTTCCCAAAGGCAAAGCAGGAGATGAAGTAAGGAATAAGGATCCCCATGTAGCCTCCTGCAGCTGAGTACCATGGCACAGTATGACCCAGTGTCACAACTTACTTCAGACAAATAGATGCCTCAGACCAGACAGGCTCATTGGTCCCAGCATCAAGCCAAGAGAAATCTTCCACTTTGTCCTGGCATTTCCAGCAAATGCTCTGGCAGAGGAGGTAGTAGCCTTAGAAAGCAAAAGCAGGATTCCCCTCTGTACCTTGTAAGTGCAGTCTTAGAGCCAGAAGCTGCCTTATTTGCCATGCTGCTGGTAGAGAAGATATGGAGACTCCAGTGCCCTGAAGCCCAGCTTCCCAGGTGTGTGCCAGAGCCTGGATGTTCTGGGACCCAGCCAGTTTGTCTGAGTCAGCCCAAGAGAAATGCCATAATCTTTTCCACTTTGCAGGTCCTGCGTGTGTTAGCAGGAAAAGAAGCTTATCCTAAAAGGAGCACTAACCTGGACATTGGGCAGTCTGCTGTTACTGCACACAGGGATTTTCCATGGAGAAGCATGAAATGGTGAGTGGGAGTTGGGTATTTGGATGGGAGTAGCAGGGGGAGGTCAGAAAGCAGGAGAGGTGAGGCAGTGGACCACCTTTCTATTGGTTGGAAAGCTCCATGGGGGTGTTTAACCCTCCCGTTCTCTGCCCCAACCAGAGCAATCAAATTCACTCCTTCATTAGCTCTGCCTTTCCTTACCATGAAAGAGATGGTTTCAAATACCTGCTTGGATTTTAGCATCTGCCCTCAGCCTTTCTGTCCTGGAGGTATTGTTGGCTCTTGGGTCTTGCAGTTGGAGCAAAGAGGAGGTTGGTGCCCTAGATTATGAAGCAGACCTCTGCAAGGTCATTCTTGTGGGCAGGTGTCAAGAGGATGCTGTCATTGTTCCAAATGACACAGCATTATTGCATCCAGCTTAGGATATGTTGAATATTATCCCAAATATTATCCTCTGTGTGGTTGGTTATCCCCTGAGCATGTTCTGTGTTCTGGAGCTCTTTAGGAAGAGAGCATTTTCTCACTGCCCTGTGCTTCTCATGCAGTTAGTTGTTGGTGAATTGTTGAAAGATGATGTTTGTCATGGTTTTGTTCATTGCCTCAGATGAATCAGCATGCCAGTGGGCAGGAAGGACATGAATATGAATCATCCCCTCCAAGACCTCCAGATGTAAACCGTTTTTAACTTGTTCTGACCAAAGCACACATGCTGCTGGGTTGCAGGACTGACTCTAAGGGCAGCCTTAGAGTAATGGAAACCTCAAGGTAATCTCCTCTCCGTTGTGCCTGGGTCTCATACCTGACTGCTGTTTGTGCTTGCACACCTGTCCATTAGATGAAATCCCAGATGAGCAGTCAGCAATGGTTTGCCATTGTTTTAGAGTACACAAGCAATAGAGCTGCAGTCCTCATGGGAAAAAATTGAGGGACAAGGAGGGATGGACCTGAGCTGTGGGCAAATGTGATATCTCTATCCAAGTAATTCTAAACATTTCCAAAAGGAGGTGGGAATGTGGCCAGAGAGCTTCTGCCACAGTGGGAATTCTTGCACACTGTTTTCTTTGCAGTACTCACATGGTCTCGAGTGCCTTGTGAGAACCAATCACAGAAATTATATTTTGCCACTATGACTTTATGACCATGATGTAGGGGACAAGAAGTATCTATGTAAATGAAGATCAAGACAAACACAACAAACTGAACATCCAGACACAACTAAAGGCCAAAGGAACAAGAAGCCCAGGAGAAAGTAATCTGTGGTGGAATATTTTTATGAAAACCATCTGGCCTCTTACTGAAAGAATGGCACCAAATTGTAGCTGGAGGCAGAAATAAGAGACACTACCCTTTTCCTAAATGAATTCATTTTAATAAAGAGCATCTAAATCCCTGCAGTGATACTGATGGTAGAAAAGAGGTGCCAGAGAGTTGGTTGCAGTCTCCAATGCTCAGGTAAGTGATCTCCTTGCAACAGGCTGCAAAAAGCATGAATACATTTTTTTCATTAGGCAGACAGGCTGCAGGACACCCTTCCCCTCCAGCACCATGAGCCTTCCCAACTGGTGGTGTGCTGTGACTGCTCTGGAGCTCCTTGCAGGCGGCAGCATTGAGCACAGTGGGTGACAAAGGCAGGATCCTTGCCCAGGAGGGACAGCCCTTCCCACAGGCTGCTGGCCACAGGCTCTGCAGACCTACGCTGCAGTGCAGCAGCTGATGTGGGCACTGCCCCAACCCAAATTAAATAACAGTTCAAATTGTCATAAACAGATTTTTGTTTATTGGATCATTAATGTACACACATGCAGCACTATCCATGTGCAAAGCCAGGTCTTGGAGGGACACGTGCTGTGGGAGCAGCCAGGGGAGCTGTGCTGGTGAGAAAACCAACAGTGGCTGTTTGATGCAGCCACTGCACTCAATGATCCTGTGACAGAGCATCCATGCAAGAGGCTGCAATGTCACCCAGGGCCTCCTGCAGTGTGGTGGAGTTCTGGGAGGCTTCAGAGGTCACTGCTTTGTGCCTTGTGTTTGGACTGCCTTTCTGAAGGCCTGGGAAAGATGGGCCAGTGCTCCTGCTGTTGATTTTAGTAAAGAACATGTAAAGGAACAGCCAGTTTCAGGACACTGAAGAGTGGTTCAGTGCTTTTCAGCGGGGGACAGCACAGAGCTGGTAGGCAGGAGGTACATTGCCTGTCCCACTCAGAGTCGGGGTTATGTTGAGCTCCTGGGGGTTGACAACAGCCTTCAAAGTAAAGTTCTGCAAGATGGTGGCTATGAGTAAGAATATCTCCATTCGTGCCAGGCCCTCTCCTGGGCATATTCGTTTTCCTGAAAGTGAAAGCAGCAAATAGAACTCAAATGGGAGTTTCTGAGTAGACCAGAGTTTGTGCTAGGCAGCTGCGTTGCACAGCTTTGTTTACTACGCACAGCCATAGCAGTGAGACAACTGTCAAAGTTACCAAGGACGTTTTCAAGAGAAGAATTTGTTTACAAACGACCCCTGACAGTTTGGATGGATGTGTGAAGGAAGAACAGCAGGGAAAGGCAGGGTGATCACCAGAGGAGGAGGCTGACAGAGAGAGGAAAAGAGCAACCCTGTGCCTTACCTGCTGAGAAGGGCATGAAGAATTCGCTCTTCTTAAAGCTACCATTCTTATTCAAGAAATGTTCAGGATTAAACTCATGTGGGTTTGGAAACTCTTTACTGTCATGGAGGACAGAAGTGAGGACGGGGAAAATTGTGGTGCCCTGGAGTAACAGAAGAAGAGCAGAACGTGAAAGGTTGGCAAATGAGGTCACTCAATCTGCCTGCCACGTTGAGACTGTGCTTCCCTGTATAACCCTAATGTGCCTTTGATTTCCCTTTTGGACCCTTGTTTAGAGGAGGCAGATTTAGGGAGACCCTACTGAATGTTATAGCAGTTGTTGGCTGCTCTTCCTGAATTCTCCCTGTCATCTCCAGAACATTCATTCTGACCTTGCTCTGGTCATCAGGGGACACCCCATCTAATTCTTCACTTTCTTGATGTTTCACAATAACGACTTTGTGGATGCACCATGTCCCTTCTTTTCTGCAAGTCCAAAATATCAAAAGCACACAAGGTTGTGGAAAAGAAGTTCCTGTAGAATTCCCCTGTCCTCACAAATTTCTCCTGCCACAATCCTCTACTTTCCCACTTCCTGGCCAGCCATTGACAGGGGCTGGAGTATTCAGCAGCGATGACACAAGAGTTCTCTGCTGGTGGCTGAGCAGTTCTCTGGGTCCTGCCTGATGATTTTACACAGAGAGCTGGAAATCACTCCACCAGCAGCCCATGTACTGCTGTTTCCCAGCTGCCCACATTCACCCAGAAGAACAACAAGCACTGCTGCAGTGGGTCAGGCCAAGCCATGGGCTGCTCTTGCCCACCAGCCTGCCTCTGGCAGTGCCCAGCAGAGACTGCCTCAGGAAGTGTGCTAGAACAGAGGCAGCAGGTTTGGCTTGTTCCATTCAATGCAAACAACACCTACAGCATTTTGTGGCTCAGAGTCTTTCTGTGCTCAATAACCAGCAACTGACTTTGCTCCCAAGCATGCGCACAGGCTATCCTGGATGGTGGTGAGCTGCTTCTCAACTTTGCTGTCTTTTGTGTGCAGAATCACTGCTCTAGTTTGTGAACCTACTGTGCTTCTGCAAATATGTAACGTTGCAGAGCAAGGGAACAAAAGTGTTGGTCAGAGCTACTGTTTTAGTGTTGGCCCATGAGCATCAAGAAGAGAGTGCAAGTCAGCTCCAGCTGCCTGAGGATAAAACCTTCAGAAAGGACTGGGTGAAAACAAAATCATGCCACAACATTAACTTGTGGCTTGTAACTGACAGCCTAAGAACTGCTGAACTGGAGGGAGCTCACCTTAGGAATGACATAGTCTCTGAAGCTGGTGTCTTTGGTCACAGTGTGAGGGAGAGCCAGGGGGATAAGAGAGATGAAGCGCTGGATTTCATGGACCACAGCATCTGTGTAGGGCATCTGGGTCCGGTCAGCCACACAGGGTTTTCTTGATCGTCCTACTACCTGGTCAATCTCTTCTTGAATTTTCTCTGTCATGAGAGGCACAAATCATCAAATGGGTAAATAAAATGAAACCCATCCAAATAGGTTGCTGTAGACTATCAACAAATCTCAGATGGCAGGAGCATTAAGTTGATTTTGATGTTGACTGGAACACAGCTAACACTGCTGCCCATGCAAAGAAACTTCTATTGATTTGGCTAAATAAAGATGTGGACACAGTCAGATCCCAGAGAGAGAAAGAGAGAGAGAGAGAGATAAAGGGAAAATCTGGGAGGAGGACGTGGTGTTAGTCATGTGCCCAGCCCAGAGGAACAGCTAGAGAGGAAGAGGTCACAAACTGGTACCTTGTATCTTTGGATATTTGAGAAGAAGCAGAAGCCCATATCGTACAGTGGTGCTTGTTGTCTCAGTTCCAGCAATGAACAAGTCGAAAGCACTTGTTATCAGGTTCTTCATGTGGAAACTGGAATTGGGACGACCTTTCTCCTAAGGAAAAGGCTTTGTTTTTTCCTCTGGCTGAGCTGAGAGAAGTGGCCCTTTCTCATGTCTTCCCAGACCTTCCTTTTCTTCTAGAGCTGTGGCCTTTCTCTGCTAAGGGGCCGCAGCCATCTGGGGTGTTGCAATGCAGCCTTGAGCAGTAAACTCAATACCAGCCTCCTTTTAAGCTGTGCACTGAATGGCATTCTACTGCTTGTTTGCTGTGTCTAATGCTCTCCAGTGAAAGAACTGCAAGACCAGACTGAAAAGTCCTTGTGTTTTGGTGAAAGCAGAGGAAGCTCTCCCTCTCCAAACAATAGTGGTGGCTGGTGAGCACACAGACCCAGAGCTGTAAGCTCTAACACAGGCAGTATCTGGGGTATTGTTGCTGTTTTCCCATTGCACAGCTGACTGGGAAGGGGTCATCCCCATGTCTGTGTTACTTATGAGAGGGAAGGACTCAGCATAGGTGTGTTTGGGGACAAGCTGGGGCCTTCTGTCTCCTTACCTCCTGCATTTTGCTGAGGAAACAGTCGATGAAATCCTGAGGGGAATTGGGATCTAGGGAGGCTTGGTGCAACTTCACCTCCTCTGCTACAAAGGCTTTTAGAGCATCAAATTCTCCGAATATATTGTTGTGTGGGCCAGGCAGGTAGTCCATGATATTTGAGAACATCTGGTAGAGCTGGAAGGAAAGAAACAGGAAAGTCCCTAGTATGACATTTGCCCCATCCTTTAATATTAACCAAATGCCCAGAAAAGCCCCAACCCTGAGCCAAGGGTTGTGTAACTGAGCCTTGGCAGAAGGACTATGAGGCTGAGCAGTCTGGCAGGACTTGCTTAGAAGTAGTAGTAGTAGTAAGCTTAAGTGGAGAAGAAAGTTGTCCAGGGCTATTGGGAACTATTGCACTTAGCTGGCAAAGCCAGTTCCAGCTTTGGTGAGGGAGTTTCTTACTCTTGAATGAAATGCCTTCAGTGCATCAGAGCATTGATGGGGTCCTACTTAGAAGACTGAAATGGAACTTCATTGGGAAAGAGGCCTCCTGCTCCTCTGGGAGAATGTTGCCACTGTGAAATGCCTACTGAACGTACCTGTCCCCAGCGGGAGTTCATCATCTCAAAGATATTGTTCATGTTGTCCATCAGAGCCAGGAACTTCTTGTCTTTATAATCATATCGTTTCCCAAAGACAATGGAGCATATGACATTGGAGACAGCACAGCTCAGCATGAAGGTTGGGTCAAAAGCTGTTCCTGTGATTTCAGAAACGTTACAGACTATTAAAAAAACCCCATGAAATTGTTGTTTTTCTACTTATGGCTACTATGGGTAATCTGAACTCTGGTTGTTAGTGGAAATATCAGATCAGTCTCTGAGTGACACAGAAGCATCCTCCAAACAGAACAGGACATGATCACAAAATTATTATGCCTTTGTAATGAAAGGTAGCTGGTGCATGGACCAAATCCTTAGGAACTTCATTCCATGCTAAAGAAGTGAGCTCCATTAATACAGCCTATTTTTTTCAAACATAAAATATATTAAAAATGGATTGTACCCTTTGTTTTGTTGATCTCTTCCAGCAAGTAGTCAGATTCCTCCTGTATCCTCTCTTCAATGCTCCTCTTCCCCATTCCAAAGTTTCGCAGAGTGGTGAGAGAAAACCGCCGGACTTGTAACCATAGCTCATTGTTGCTAAAAACAATCCCTACAGAGGAAGAAGGAAGAGGAAAGACCTGTCTTGGGCATGCTGGCTGTGAGATGAACAGTAGCTCATGGTGACAGTGAATCCTGTCCCTGGAGAGAACTGACATGGCAGCGTCACAGCATACTGTGGTTTGGAGGTTCTGTAGTCCAACTGTCTGCTTTTGGCCTTCTCCACTACATGCCAAACATCCTTGTGAATAATTCATCACTCATCCATACACAATTTCCCTTGCTGCAGCAGCTGCTGGCTGCCCCTTGTCATTTTCCTGCCCATCTTTGAGAGCAATCTGGCTCCCCTTCTCTGCCACCTCCCACCCTTTGAGTGGCAGTAGCCTTCTCTGGCTTCCCCTCTCCAGGTGGGTTGCACCCAGCCCTTGCAGTTTTCCCTCCTGCAAGGTACACTCCAGCTCTAATCTGCTGATCACATCCTCAACCCTTCTCTTCTCTTTCAGAAGGAGCTCAGTCAGCAAACATACCTAATCCATTGTTAGCCCTGTCTCCAATTGGCATGTGTCCCCTGGCAGCAAACTCGTCTGCGCGATCGACCAAGGCTTCTTTCACCACATCGTATCCGTGCAGCACCACCACTGGGTCAGAGCCCAGGTGCACTGTGAACACGGGTCCATACTCTTCACTGAGCTGTAAAAGTGCAAGAGAGAACATGGCCATAGAGCAAATAGTGAGGAAGAGTGGGAAAGTCTCCTTGCTGCTGCCTTCCCACAGCAGGCAGTTAGCCTCACACATTGGTAACATCAAGATTTGGGTCTCTCATGATAAATGTGGCTGTGCAGATGGGTCCCACTTATCAGGCCCTAAACAACATGGCAACAGCAATGAGGGAAGCAGCTGCAATCCCCATGACTTTTCTGCTCCTCTGGAATTGCAAGTCATTGAGCCATAGCCACAGGCTGACCCCACACACAGGTCCTACAGATTTCTCACCCAAAGCAGAAAGACAGAAGAAGTGGCCTTACCTTCTGGAGGGTTTTGGCCAAGTTACTTGGTTTCACCTGCAGCAGGTTGCCTAGAATGGGAAGGGGAGCTGGTCCCGGAGGCATCTTCCCCTTCCCAGACCTTCCTTTCCATGCTGCAAAGGAGAGCAGGCAAGCAATGCAAACCAGGAGGACAACAGTGGCTCCTCCCAGGAGCTCCATTTTCATCTGTGGCTCAGGAGGGAGTGACTCTGGCTGTCAGAATCTGAGTTTATATCCCAAAGGTCTGTGTTAGTTCAAGAGCAGGTTTTGGGTCACATGGCTGAGTCAGTCAATGTTTACTAGTCAATCATTTGTTAGATTGCCCTGTGTTATGAAACTAAGATTTTATTGGTATTAATTATTCATTGAAGTCACACCTTATCTCAAACAACTGCAGAAGCCAACAGAGATTGGGAAATCTGTAATGTGCTCACAAAACTTGTTTTCTTTTATCTATACTTAATTGTTAAAGAAATCATGGTCGGGACACATTGTCATTCTGAGGCACTCACAGACATTCACTGTCACAAGAGCATCTTCCAAGTATTTCAGTGACATTTGGGTTTTCTGTTCTTCCGTATTGATTGTGCAAGCCCTCAGTGGTGTGAGCCATCCTTCATTGTTCCTGAAATCTTCCTGATGTCATTAGTAAACTTAATACTGCATGTTATTTGCTAAAGGACAAGCCACTGTGTTTTCCTCAGCAATTGCACAGCAGTGGCCCAGTCTCTCTCCCTAGGGGTGTCTGGCCTCACAAGAGAGGAGAGTATAAAATATCTATCCAGCAAAGCTAGAAAGGTCTCCAGACATGACAACAGACAAGAAAGGACTTGCTGGGTGAGACAAAATGAAGATGTAAGAAAAGGGTACGAGACCTTGAGACTCTGACCTCTTCAAGGGCTCCTAGAGGAGAAAAAAAGAAAAGCACAGAGAAGAGAGAAACCCAGAACTTGAGAGAGTCTCTGGGAAATGGCTTCCCAAGCTGGGACAGAGGTGCATTTGTCCAAGGCTGGGTATAGGCCATTGCAACCTGGCAACTTGTCCTTGCTCTTACCAAAGCAGCTCACCCAACCTACAGCTGGAAGTTGGCATGCACAGGTTCTTGTTTTCTTGATGTCTGACTCCACTATGAGGAACTAGTGCCCTGGAAGTTCCCTAGGTGCTCTGGGAGACAGCAGAGCATGTTGGCTGTGTTGCAAGGGCATAAAAAAGAGCTGGAGGCTTCCTGCCCAAGATTGCCCAGGGCCTGCGTACCAGTGGGGTCCCAAGAGCAGTGGCAAGGGCTGGTAGAAAACCCTCAGGGCTGTGCTCATCTTGTTCAGTCTGACCTTCACCCTCTGTCTCTCCTGAACTGTGACACATTTGCAGGCAAAACTGATCAGAAGGTGTTGCAAGGATAGGGGATGTGGGACTTGGGGGGAATTAGCAAGAGGCCTGGCTGAATTGAGTGCTTTGTTGGGGCATGCTGTGTTTGCTGCACAGCAGTGTGTTAAGGTGAGTTTCCCTTCCACTTAGAGGAGCTAGTGAAGATCTCCATCCCTTGCAAAAGTTTTTGTACCTTCCCTACAGAAGGGAGTTCTAAGTCATCCTTGTTCTCTTGAATGGGTGCAATAATTTTCTAGTTGTTAATTTTAAATCTTATTTTACTTCTTCGAGAGCCATACTCAATGCTTTGGTGGAAAAACCAAATTGCCAACAACTTTTGGCTAGTTGCTGGTCTGCTGGGCAGAATTCCTGCATCAGCTCAGATGCTGCCAAGGTAGCTGATGGAAGTTCATATAGGTTCATGGACTTTCATCTAATGAATGTAAAGTTCATGAGAGTTTGCATTTTGACATGAGGTAGCTGCCAGCTAGCAGTGTTCATGACCTTACCACCTTGTCTACAAAGTTCCCTTTTGCCCATGGCACTCATTGATCAGACTAATGGTCCACAGAGAGGTTTTCTTCACCTACTTTCATCCTCTGCATGTCCTTCCTGTCTGTAGTGGTCTTGGCTGCTGTCTAAACTGGTGCTTACAACTGGGTCACTGGAATGCATGAGAATGATCAAATGGGTGAGGAGAAGATTTCTGAGGAAGAGAGACCTGCTTGTTTCATTTCAGCTAGGCTGCTTTCCACTTTCCATTTTCCATAACAACTTCTTTCAAACAAAGCATTTAATTTCCCTGAATTTCAGGCTTATCCGAAGAGCCTCCCATCCCTACAGGATCAAACACAGCTATTTGGTGTCTGTGTAGGAACTAGGAAAGGACAGTTACCTGAAACTGTTCTCAGCACAGGTACTCCTTGGCAAATCTACAGCACTTCTGGGGTTCTTTCATGTAGAATTATTCTTCAAGTCCATGTAAACATTTTTTTTTTTATTATCAGAAGTATTGATGGGTTAAAGTATAATAAAAGTACTTCCTTATAGCTCCAAAGTACTTTACTGATTTTTACCCAGTTATCAGCCGGTAATGCAGCCAAAAGAAGCATTTGGCTGTCATTCAGTGATGATGTGATTGGGGCATACACAGTGCTCAGCTTCTAAAGAGATGAAGCCTCCCTCCCTGCCAAAGTCCAAATGCTTTCCCTGGTGTCTCTCCTCTGTTGCTGCCTGGTGCCCTGGCAGGCACTGTGGGGAGCACACTTGGTTCATGAGGGCTGCTCAAGCCTCAGCTACACAGGCAGCCTGCCAAGATCCATTGCCTCTGTCTCCTGTTGTGCACAGCTGCTGACAAGGTCTTACACTTTGTGGAGCAGCCATCCTGGTTGGTGCATGAAATTAGCAGAGGTAGGCACAGTGACTCTCTTGACCAGCTGGGATCATGGCATCTTGCACAGCTGTGCAGCAAAGATGGGCTGTGGGCTGAGGTGGAAGGGCAAAAGAAATGCCTCCCTCAGACTCAGCTGTTGCCCACCCACCATGCCTGTGATGAGGGCTGGCTGGGGCCAGGGTACTGATGCTGTACAGTGCTGTGCAGACATCCAGGAGCTGGAGGATCTGCTAAATGGCAGAAGTGTAAAGACATTCACAGTTCCATGGCATGAATGCAGAAACATGCATGGAAAGATGGACTATGAGGCATTCGCTGCCTGATGTGTGGCTGGGGAGGACACCCTCCAAGACACCTTGCACTTACAGGCAGGCAATGGTTGCTGGCAAGCAGAGTTTTCTCTGGGATCACAGAAGCTCCCCTTGCCTGTGTTTCAAGCCCAGCTCAGGGGTCCACCTGCCACTTTTTAGGGGTAGGGATCCCAGAGAGCATCCTGCCACTTAGCAGCCAGGTCTGAACCAGTCCTGCAACTATCCCCACACAAACACACTGCAAACAGGGCTGTAAGTCCACAGCCAAGAGTGTTTATGGGGAATCACCACTGTTTAGGTGTGCAAGGCCTTCTGAGCTAGATGATTTCTCACAGATTTTATGTGGAGGGCTCTTTCTGTGCTTTTGTGTCAGCACCCTGTGTCTGGCATTTGAACCCGTAAAATCTTTAAAAGAATAATAGAGCATTGTCATTGTTTCTTGCACTCACACCATGTATTGAGCAATTAGAGCAGCAATAGGGCGCATGGGGAGAAGCAACCAGATTTCCTACGTGTCCCAGCTGTGGGAAGAACTCAGGGTAGGAAGGAAGTTTTGAAGACACTCCTGGGGCTCTACAGTATGAATACAGACCCGTCTCTTAACATTAGTTCAACTCTTGCCTTTTGATTTTCTTCAAAGAGCGCCAGCAGACTCCGCTGAGTTCAGGTGAGGGCAATGGAAGGTGTTAAACTGCTGGGCTGGGTCCACCTGGGCACTTCAGGGATTTCTGGTCCCAGCTGGCTTCAGAATTTAAAAGGACTAGGCTAAGAGCCTAGCAAGAGAGCAGGATGGGTGTTGTAGGGTGGTCTTGGGCTGCATCAGGAGCTATGCTCTTCTGGGTGTTTCTTGGCCCCCTGGTTTTGGTTCTGGGGGCTCCTATCAGTGTTTTTTCTGATCCTACCCTGCTGACTTGTGGCCAGAAATGCTTACACCTCAACTTACCACCAGGCTGGGAAGGGAATGTTTCATTTGTGCTGACTACATGGGGTGAGGCAATATCAAGAGGCATTTTTAGCCATATCTTTGCTGTGCAGAAATGTCCACGAAAAAAGGTTTGGACATAGGGGCCACCAAATTGCTAAGGACTTGTGCCTTTCTGCAGGGTCAGCAGGTGAATATGTACATGGTGTCTCCCAGCCATATTCTGGCTACATGAGTTCAGCAAGTTCAGTGAATTAACTGGAGACTACGTACAATGATTTCCTTAATTACCATGAGTCCATCTAGAAAGCTTTATCTTGACAGATCCAATGTAGGTCCAGTTTCCTATACATGGCCTCAGGGGGAGTCTCTGCTCCATGGAAATGCGGGTCCCTCCTGAGCAGGCTTCCATGCCAGATCCAGGCCACGTGTCTGACCCTCACCTAACTCTCACTTCCCTTGATTTGTATGCAGAATCACCAGGACTCCTTCAACCAGTGTCCTTCATGTCTTTGTCCCCCTGCTCTTGTGCTTTTTCTGGAAAGACCTGCTGTTTGTCCAGCCCTGGATGCTCCAAGCAGCCGTGTCTGTCTGGCCATTCCCAGCCAGGCTGGCTGCCTGTGCCTCCCTGCCCATCAGCCAGGGAGACTGTGAAGCACGAGGCTGCTGCTATGACCCCAGAGACAGGGTGAAACCTTGCTACTTTGGTAACACAGGTAAGCCTGAGCACCTGTTCTCCCTCCCTCCTGAGCTGCTTCAAAACAGGATTTCTCATTTTACTGGCAGGGCAAGCCAGCACTTGATGTGTACCACTCCTGCAGGTGGCTCAGGGCTATGTTTTTGGCTGCCAAGAATATCACGTCCCAGTCAAGTGTCCAGCATTTTCCACTCTATTGCAACACACCTGGTTTTATGCCCAGCATCGGTGTTGTTGTTGGAACTGGCTGCACTTGTCTTGCCATACTTAGCACTTGTTTTGTGGGTTAAAGGCAGGACATCTTGCAGGACTTGCTGGTCTTGTCTTGGTTGTGATGTTAGAGCATCCTTCCCATCTCTCTTATCTCTGAGCTCAAGACTGATTCTTTTTCTCCAGTGACAGCTCATTGCACACCAGATGGCCAGTTTTCCATTGCTGTTTCTCGAGCTGTCACCCTGCCACCTGTTGCCCTGGACTCAGTGCAACTGGCCAGTGGACACAGTACTGGCTGTGTCCCTGTCCTAACAAACAAGGCCAGTTTCCACTCTCTGCCTGTGGCACTGCTTTGCAGGTAAGAGCTGCAGCTGTTGCTAGGCTGGAAGAGCTGGAACAGCCTGCCATGGCTTTGGCTGCTCAATGGACATCCTACAGACTTCCACAGGCCAAATGCTGTTCTCTAGCCTCATACTGATCCAGCCTGACTTTACCACAGTGATGGTGCCTATCTGTCATTCCAGATGAATGCAGACCAGGCCATATATGAGAATGAGTTGGTGGTAAGCAGGGATGTGAACACTGGGAGCCTTGGCTCTGCCACTAGGGATAGCATTTTCAGGTATTACCATGGGGCTGATATTGCTGGGTGTCCCTGTGTTCAATGTTACTAGAGAAATTCCTGCTCGTCACAACCTCTGATTTCACATGAGGGCCCTGGAGTAGGTTAAAGACCAGTGTATCTCTAATTAGTAGGAATGAAGCTGGAATTGATCAGTGACAATCTGCAGATTCTCAAATCTAAACACTAAAGAGAATTTCAAGTATTTGTTAAAAGGAAGTGACAGAAGGGGATATAAGTAATTAAAGCAGATGATAGGTTGCTATATTGGAGAAAGGGGATATCAGAGTGGCTTTTCTTATTTGCCTGATTTGGAGCTTTCCTTTCCCACCAGGTTACATGTCTGATGTACTTATTCCATCAGTGGGAGCTCCATTCCCTTGAGTGTTCAGGTCTTCACATTGCCACCACTCCCTGCTGTGTCCCAGCCAGGTCCTCTGTCTTTGGAGCTGCATGTTGCCTCAGGTAGGAGAGGTTTGCAGGACCTGCTCAAGGCTCTCAGAGCAGGGCTCTGGTCTCTGATGTGTAACAGTGGAGTATTGATGGGTTAACCCAGCATTGCTTCCCTGCCATGGTGGGAACTTACTGATATGGCTCTAAAGGATGCCTATTCCTGCTTCTTGCTGCTCTTAAATGGCTCTTGGGTTTCTTCTGTCCCAGATGGAAGCTATACTTCCTACTATATTGACAGTGACTATCCTGTTGTGAAGACTCTGAGAGATCCTGTTTATGCAGAGGTCAAGATCCTTCAGAGGACAGACCCAGACCTGATTTTAGTTCTGCACCACTGCTGGGCCACACCAAGCACCAACCCCCAGCAACAGCAGCAGTGGCCAATTTTGGTGGATGGGTAAGTGACTTGTAAAAACTTTGGGTCGATGGAATAACTTGCTCTTTTTCACTGCTTACCTTTCCTCCTCAGGTGCCCCTTATGCAGGCGACAACTATCAGACACAGCTGATGCCTCCAAGTTTCACCTCAGGACTACTATTGCCCTCTCATTACCAGCGTTTCACTGTCTACACATTCACCTTTGTGGACTCCACTTCCCATGAGAAACTCTGGGCTGGTAAGATCCTGTCCTGCCTGCCTAGTTTCTTACTGAAGTAAAATGTGTGAACAATAAGAACCACTTCATGACTATGAGTCTCTTGGCCTCCTTGGGGGAATGGGGCAAAGACTAGGAAGATCCCCTGCTGAAATAGAAGGGGAGAAGTTAATGCCAAAAACCTCATTCTCTGAAGTGAATGTGATAGAGTTAAGAGACATCACTTTTGGAGTGTGACAGAAAATGTGACTACTAGAAGGATAGTAGTGTACCTAAGCAAGTGCTAGTTTGTCTGGTGAATTAGCTTAGGGTGTGTGCTCTAGCTACACTAATCAATATTCTCTAAACTGCATTTCTTGCTCAAAATTACTTGGAAATAAACTTTGAGTACATTTTGAAGCATCTGGGCTCTGAATCTCATTGAGCCCCTCCAGTTAAGTCACATGAAATTCACCCTGCCATGTACTGTTTGCTCAGCTCTCCTGGGATCGACTAATACCCAAAATTGGTCTCAGCTGTACTTAACAAGGTTCCCAGTGAAGTGGTGCCCGGGCAGCAGTATTGCAGGTGTCAGGGAGAAGTGCTGTAATGCCGGATTGGCCCGAGCTTGAAAGTGTATGGTGTAAAGGTTTCAAAGCTGCCTTGGAGCGGACAGCAGAGGGCTCCAAGGCTACAGGCCAGGTGTTAAACAAGCCGAACAGACCTTTCTGCTTTCCCCCTTAAGGACCAGGCCCATGGTACGGAGCTACCTCTCCTCTTAGCAGCCCATATGGTGCTGTGGCTTTGAATTTGTCCCTAAAACAGTGTTGAAAGCAGATGTTCTTGCTGACTGCTGAATGGCACTTGCAGAACACCAAGACCTTCTCTTCATTCTGCTGTCTCTCAACCCCAAGTGAGTAGGCATGGGACAGGCTAGAACCTGGGAGGCAGCAGAGCTGACTCAAAGTGGCCAAAGGACTATTCCATGCTGCATGATTTTATGCTCAGCAGTGTAAACTTTGGGGGATTTCATCTTCCAGTATAGCTGATGCCCCAACTGCCTGGGCACTGACCTGCCTGTAGGAGCAGGGTAGGTGACTTGCTTTTACATCACTTGTGCTTTAGGTCTTTTCTTCCCTCTACTCCTCTCCTTCACTTCTTTAACTGTCTTTTCTCTCCAGCTACAGGTTTTCTTGCTTTTGCTCTTCCTATTCTTTTTCTGCCCTGCTGGGGCAGAGTAGGGGGAGTAAGCAGCTCTGTGGGCGCTTAGCTGCTGGCTGGGGTCAGTGCAGCACACTAGGATATCACCAGGCCCCAGACAGTGCCTGAGGGATTTCAGGCTGTGTTCCATTTCTCTCTAGGTGTACCTGCACTGCAGTGCTTCCGTGTGCCACCAGTCTGTAAAGGAGTCCTGCATCCCCTCTTGTCCTTCCAGAGTCAGTAAGTGTCCTGGCCTTCTGCTCCCTAGCCAAGGGGCAGCAAGGGCCTAGTCTCCCAGCTGGGGAGGAGGAGTCATGTAGCCCATGGAGTAATTCCCTTAAGGCATGGACAGCTTGAGAAAGCATTTCCTGCTCCTTTCCACTGACTAAGGGCTCTTCTTATGCCAAAAAGACAGAGGTCTTCATGGGCTCTTAGCTCTATGTGGGCTCACATGGAAACTGTGCCTTCAGCACTTTCCGTGTGTTGGGAAGCTGACTTGAACAAAGTTTGCTGACCTTCAGGTCTCTACCTCTTCTTACCTACAACCTTCATGTTGCTCTGTAGGGGGTAAAAGGAGTGCTGAGCCTCCTTTTCAGGAAGGTCTTTCCCATGTCTCCAGTAAAGGCCCTGTGATTTTCCTCCAGCATGAGCTAAGACAGGACGCAGCCAGGGATGGCCTTGGTAAGTGTGGCAGCAGAGCAGGAGAAGGGGCCTGGTCTAAGGCTTTTCTGCAGAAAGGCTGAGCCCCTCAGGCATCCCTGTGCCTCCCTGGGAGCATTCATTGGGGTGTCTCTCCCCACAGGAGAGGCTGTGCATGCTGCTCTGGGATTTGCTGCTGTGGCAACTGGGACATCTCTGTGTGTGGTGCTTGTGGTTTCTGTGCTGTGGCAAAGGAAGGTGTCAGCCATGCATGAAATCAATGGATTACAATAAAGTGACTGTCAAACCAGTTTGGTGGGACCTCTTCCCCTGGAGACCCTAGCTGTAAGAATTTATTTGCAAGGCAAAAACTACTCCAGTGGCTGTGCAAGCTTTCCAAATGCTCTGAATTCATCTCACTCTGGAATTCTTCTGCGTTTGCTGTTACTTGTCTGCCATAGACAAACTGGAGACCTTGTCAAGGCCTGGGCTGCAGACTGAGGCAGGATTGCTGCTGGGTGATGTTGGCATTTCTGTTAATGAATATAGTGGCTTTTAAAAGTAGTGACCTAGGCTCCATTCCAACACTGAGCAGAAGTACACCAAAGCTCACTCAATGCAGATCCTGCAGCTGCTTCTCTGGAGATGCAGAACAGTTATTTTGACTCTGCTGAGGAGCTGGGACTTGCCAACTTGTCCCTAAGTCACTAGGTAAGGTAGGGCTGTGCTCATGTGGCACTGCTCATGTGGCAGGACTGGAAAGCAAGAATGCCAAAGCACTACACAAATGGGTCTTGCTAATGATGCTGTGCATGAATTTGCCTTTCTTGCCCTAGAAACAGAAAAGGGTAGGTGGCATTTTTCTGGTGAATGAGAACATGGAAACTTCATATCAACTGGAAAAAAATAAAAGGGCCTAGGTGGTCTGAAATTCAGGGAGAAAAAAAATCTACTTAGAGCTATTCTTAAGCTTTAATGTGACAACAGGCAGTTAGGAGTCTTCAATGGTCTTGGATCAAGGCTAATTTGACATCGCTGTTAGCATACTAGTGCTTTTCTTAATTTTTAACTTGATTCTTTTAGATGAGAAAAAAACCTTGCCTTTTTGAGCATCAGGGGTGGTTCAGTGTGGTGTTGTCAGTCTCAGCAGCTGGGCAGCATCCCTCTTGGCTTTCTGAAGTCCTGGCTGAAAACAGTACAGCAGAGCTCTCCAGGCAGTAGAGGGGAAACGGGGCTCCACCTCCTCCTTCCTGCCCAGCCTGGGGCAGCTCTGGTGCTTGCACTTACACTGATATCTGCTTATAGCTGATGGGGTAGTCCTTGAGGGGAAGGAAAAATACTTTTCCCTTTTTTCCTCTAAGGCTTAATTAGAAATTCTTCCTGTTAAAGGCAGGAGAGAAGCCTTAATTGTATTGCTTTGGGGCCTTTAAAAGGGAGGATTAGCACTTATACCTGGAAGAAAAGAACTGATCAGTAACTTGCTTGAGGCAGTAGATGTTGTTCTTTTTAATTAGGTTCTGTTGATCGTGTGTGATTGGAGCGTGTTAATGAGTGGTGGGATTCCTTTCCTATTCCAAGAAACTTCAGGAGTAATTTTATGTTTTTATTTTTCTAGTAGGAATGCTTTTCCCTGCTACTGTCAGGATAACCAGTGATCTTTGTCTTGTGTGCTTTCAAAATCTAACCAGATGAAAAGACTGTTCCGAGTTGTACGGTGGGAAGGAGAAGGAGATCGCCGCAGGAAAAAACCGTCATCTGAAGACAGGTCAAACAGCCTCTTACTTTGGAGCAGGCTTCTGGCAACTAAATGACCTCGGTACAGGTGGAGCTCTGTCTGGAAAAGCTGAGTGTCAGCTCATAATGTGCCTCATGACAAGTCTTTAGTAGCAGTCTGTAATGTTATTTAACTGGGCAGTTAGAGGAGTAATATAAACCACACCTTCTCAGTGCACCAGGCAGGGTGCTCTGGCACTGGTCTTAACTGTGTGCGTGTAAGCCAAGACCTAAACACCTCCTGTTTGCTACTGGAACTTTCCTTTGCCCCAGTAAGGGAAACAGAAATAATTGCTAAGAGAGCTCAGATGACTGTGGGGATGCTGAAGGGGCTGTGAGAGTCAAACCTCTGCTGCCGTCTGTTGGGTTACTGAACCATCCCAAAGTGGCAGGGAGCTCTGGGTGTGTGTCCTGTGGGAATTGCAGAGAGTCCCCTGCAGGCACTGTGCCTTTTGGTGCAGAGCTGTGTGTAGGAGGCTGGTATGATTCTTAGTGTAGGGTATGTGCAGTGCTAAGTGGAGGTGGGTGAGCAAAGGAATAAACTTAATTTCCTTATCCACTCTGGGGAGTCTTCTGTGTTTAAGGCTTGCTACTTGGTCCTCAGCTGGCAAGAAGGCTCTGAGCAGCAGTGAGATGGGAGTTGCTCTTCTGAAGCACTGGTATAGGGTGAAAGACAACCCAGAGATTTCCTCCTCTGTTGCACTGGCCCTGTGTTCACTGCCTGTTCTCCAATGCCACTGGGGTGTTAGTGGCTCTCATGGCTGCTGTTATTTACTTCTGCAAAAGTGTATTATTTCCCTTCTACCTCCACAGATGCACTTCTGTCTAACTTGTTTTCTAGGCCTATTTTTAGTTGAGTTTCACTGACTTTTCACCATTACTTTCTTTTGAATATCTGTGTGTAAATTCTTGTGCCACACCTTCTTTAGCTTCACTATGTATCACCTGGTTATATAGTTCAGTTAAAGCTGTTGGGGGGTGCTGTACACGGTGCCTTAGACACCTGCCAGGGGAAAGGAAGCTGCCCTGTCCAGGAGGCTGCTGCTGGCTGGGAATCAAGGCTGAGGAAAAGCAGCCAGGAGGCCAGCTAGGATCTGTCATTTGAGGCTGTTGTGCAGTGCTGCTACCAAATCCAGATTTTCAGTGCTGAGCAGCAGCACACTTTGTCCCAGTGCCTTCACTGATTCTTCTTGGAAGTGCTGTGTGTGCTGCCTGTGCTGCCTGTCTGTGGAAGCAAAGTCCAGCAACATCACCTAATACAAGGCTGCTCAAAATTAACGTATGTGTTTTGTGATACCTGAACTTTCAAAAGCCTCTCCTCACCCTCTAGATCTTTGAGAACAGCACCTGCTTCCAAAGAGCAAACTTGCTTCTTTGCCAAAGCTAAAGACAGCCTTTAAAAGCTTGGAGGTAACAATTCCTTTCTTGACTAGCTATGCTCACCTGATACCCTAAAGGTGTGGCAGTTGCTATACTACAAGCCAGGTGTTCATTAATAAAATATCTGAAAACAATTACCATAATAGTGATACTTTTATTAAACTTCTTATGCTTGGATTACAATGGATCCTGGGGTGGAGAGCTATACAGTATGTTACACATTATAAATACATTTATTTCTGAAAAATACAAGAACATATTTAACATAATGCTATAATAAAGAAGAGTGCTAGTTTATCTTAGTTAAAAAAAAAACACCCAACAAACTTATACCATGAATAGAGAGGGTTGTAGAAAATACCAGCTCACGATGCTATGTCTTAAAAGACTTTAAATTCAGTTTGCACTGATTCACATTCTGTACAGTCACTGTAAAAAAGCTGGAGAGCTAATGGAGGTTGTAAGTTAATGAAGGATTTTTGTCCCCTGTATTTATGGAGATATATACAGAATATTCACAGAATAATCAAGTCATAAATCCTTCTAGCTTTGGATGAAGCTAGCAAGATATACAGTGAATAACCAAGTCCTGCAGCAGCAGCTACAGCTGAAACATTAAACACAGCACCTACTTTAGGGTGCCAACCTTGAGTCAGCACAGCTTTTTTTTTCTTTTTAATGGGTATTTGGGTTTGGGCTGTGGGGTTTGGTCATTGTGTTTGTGGGGTTTTATTGAGATGCTAAGTAACAACAGTGGCAATCCTTCTGGCTACTTGAACCCTGCCCTCACTCATCCCTGCAAACTATACTGGCCCTGGAATGGCATGGCTGAGATGCTCTGAATCCCAGAAAAAATCCTGTTCTGGTTTGGAGGACTTCAATGGTTCCAGCTGATGTGGATGAGCAAGGGAGAAGCATCTGTTATGGAAAGACTAAGCCTGCTGAAGCTGATCATTCCTGCCAACTTGTCAAATCTTGGTTCTCAGGCAAGTTTGGGTTGGGGAGGGATTTTTAATCAGCAATTGCTTGTTTTGTAATTATATTATAAATTATGGGGTAGAACAATCCTTTATCAAGAGGCAATGTTAGTTTACTTAAATCTTTACCCCATGTGTATTAATTACTTTGCTAGTACTAATAAGAGCTAAGTGTGCAGAGACCTCTGCAACCATGGGACGTTCAGAAGCGTGCACTGCCTGTTCCTTGAGTCAGGAAGCAGTGGACATGTAGGCAGCCGCCACACACAGTCATGGTGTTTCAGTTGTTAGTGTATCCCAAAAGAGCACCAGTTTATAAAGGATGTATTTGAATTTCTTTCCCTTGTAGCCTTGCTCTCCTCAACTTTTGCCAGTAGAGAGAGAGAGAGAGCAGGCAGAGCCATACAGCAGCATGACTGCTCCACCTACAGCCTCAGGCCCCCACCTGCACAAACAGAGCACTTCAATGGGACTTAAACGTAGGAATTCAAGCCTGGTGTCCTGTCCCCCATCAAAAAAAGAGAAAGAGATTGATTACACAATGGCTGGGGCAGAGGCTGCCCTGGATGCTCATCCAGTCTCTTGAAAGGCTAATTCCTGCAGTGCTGCTTACTCTGGTCTTTACAATGAGTGTGTACTATGCCAGCTTCTGTGCCAGGCAGCACCAGAGTCCAGGGACCCCTGCAGAAGGAGCAGGCCCACAGGACAGGAAGCTAGTAGTGGATTCAGGAATGACCTCAGCTTTACATTCATTGTTTTCCTGTTGGATTCCAGTGAAATGGCACAGCTGGCTATAGGCTGCTCTGAAGGGAGGAACTGTGCTGGGGACAGAGACTGCAACTCAAGTTCCCAGAGGGAGGAGGCTGTCCTTTCAACAGCCACTTCTGCTCTGGGCAATGAGTCTCTGGCACTCCTCCAGATGATGCTATGTCCCATAAAGCTAATGTTTATTTCAGCTGGAGAAGTCCCAGAAAGTAATGATAGTTTTAAAGCTTTGGTGTTTCAGGTAATTCTGTTCCCAACCCAGAGAAGAGGAAGAATTTCCAAATCTTAAAAGTCCCTGTTGCTTGTGTTGCCAAGATGCTAACAGCAATTTTCATCTGTGGCTTGACTTTTTAAAGTACACTTCAGATTTAGGAGCGAAGCCATATGTAGTTGAGCATG